GAGTGTGAGGAAAGATGTGCAAAGGGAAAACTTGACATCATCAGGCTGTTGAAGGATTGATGGGAGTTCACCGGGGGAAGAAGATGGAAAGGGCATTCTAGGCCAAGGAAGCAGCAAATACAAAGGCATGGTGTATTTGGAGAAGTACAGTGTATTTGGTGTTCCTGCACTTAAATTCCAAAATGGTGAATGATCCCGGAGACACAGGTGGGTCATGTCATGACGTGCTTTATGGGCCGTGCTAAGGAGTTCAGAGTTGACGCTATTGATGTTGGAGAACCATTAAAAGATCTTAAGTAGGGGAATAACTTGGTTAATTAGCATTTTATAAAGATCAATCTGGTGGTTGTATGGCAGGGAAATGGGGAGAAACAGAATGGGGCTGGCTAGGAAGCTGCTACACTGTCCTCATCATGAGTAATGTTGAAGGTTTACACTAAGGAGCCAGGGGCTGGTTAAGCCGAGACAGATGTAACAGAGGTTTAAGAAGTAAAAATCAGTATATCTTGGTTGTGTTGTGGTGAAGGAAAAGTAGAAGCCTGAGGTTTTCAGCATGAGTGACTTGGTGAATGGCGGGGCTACCAAGCGAGACAGTAAATACATAAAAAAGATCAAGTAGGGGTAAGATGTAGGGTTGGGGTGGATAATGAGTAAAGTTTTGGACAGAAGGAATGCGATGTCATCATTTACACTAAGGAGATATGGACTGAGCTTGGAAGCGGTAATGAGTAGTATTTTAGAAATGAGGGGTGTGAGATACCGATGAAACACTCTGTAGAGATATCCCCTAGGCAGTTAGATTTACGTGATTGGAGTGCAGGGTAAAAGTCAGAGCTGTACACATAAATCTGGGACTACCAACATGTAGGCCATCATTAAAGCTATGGATAAGTTTGCCCAAGAATGAGAAGATAAAGGGCAGCAGTTGCAATATTGGGAAGCTCCAATATTCATGACGTAAACGGAGAAAGGGCAGAAAGGAATGATCAAACAGATAGGAGTAGAAGAATGTGCTGCCAGTTTCCATCTACCTATCCATCCACCACGTCACCTACCTACTCACCCATCCAGTCAGCAGAAACTCATTTATTGAGAACTTAAGACATAATGAGGACAGGGACGACGATAAGTACTGAGGGAATCACAGAGATGGAAAACATATGATTTTCACTGAAGTGTTCCCAGGTGTGTGTGTGTGTGTGTGTGTGTGTGTGTGTGTGTGTGTGTGTGTTTTGGGGGGGGTAGGTTAAATCANGTGTGTGTGTGTGTGTGTGTGTGTGTGTGTGTGTGTGTGTGTGTGTGTGTTTTGGGGGGGGTAGGTTAAATCATGTTATTAAAAAAAGAAAAAGGAAAGAGAAGAAAAGGAGGATGGGGGAAAGGGAGAGATCAATTTTACTTGACTTCACTCATTTCAATTTTCATCCATTATGACAGTACTCGGACTATATATCCTAGAGGATTTTAATATTTACATCGTAATTTGAAAGATGCCTACCTCCAAAACTGTTTTTGACATGAAAAGCCAGGATATTTTATATGCAATAAAAGTAGGGATGCTAGACCACTCTTTATATCATTAAGAAGAAAGAAGTAGTAGTGTCCATTGTCTGAAATTTAAATGGAAAATAGAACGAGCAAATATGTTTTAATGTACATTTTTTTACTGGAGTCAGGCCAACTGGACTTTACTACCACCTAAGGACATTTTTAGTGTTGACACTTTTAGTGCTTAAGCAGCTCAGTTAAGCTTCTTCAGAAATATACATAGCCATCACCTGGAAAGCCACTCTCTGAAAATGTAGTACTATGTGGAGAAATTATTCATAGAACTTTTTTCAAATCTCTTCCATATATGTCCTGGAACAGAATCGGTCTCCCTTGAAAGATCTTAGACTTCAAACCAGGACTCCTGCTAGGAAATCAGCTTCCATAGAATGACCAAGCCTCATAACAGTCACTGAGATTGGGCAGACATTTCCAAACCCAGCACAGAATTGAAGTTTCCTAAGATTGTTTTCAACACACAGGTGCAAATGCCTGTACTTGCAGAAATAGAGCATTATACAGAAAAACACTTTGAGAGAATGGTCACCCAGTGCCTTCTTTTCTCTCTGTACCAGATGGCAATGAACTAGCTCATTATCTGCTTGTTTCTTAAACATTTCCACTGAAGGCAACTCTGAAGTCTGCCAATTGAGGTTCATGGAGGCTTATTTCTAAAATTTAGCGGGTGGCCAAGGGACTTTGTCCTGGAACTCTTGGCCCATCAACCTTTCAACTTATTTGTTCTCTTTCTTTCTTTATATAATTCAATAATATCTTTATTCACATTGAGCCAGGCTATCACATTGACTTTGTGACCAAATCAAATGAAATAAAATACGTTGCGTGCTCATAATGCATTAATTTATCTTTCCCTAGTTTTCAATTCCACAATGACATGCTTTGATTTCCTATTTGTTAGGGAGGTATAACAGGAAGAGCTAGGGATTTTAGCAATCTTGTAAAGCCTAATATAAACATATTGGTATCATCATAGGTATATTTAAGTAGAAAATATTGTATTGCTTCTAGTTGCTTCCCCAGATCATCCTGGAAAGCTTTGTGTTGACAATATAATTTAGCTGGTTTTTGAAATATTGCCACCTGATTTTCCACTACACGCTGTTTCATTTTGTGTTAAACGTGTCTTCAATAATGAACTAATGTGTACCCTTCTTTGATAATATTTGCTGAAATGTCTTTACCTGTTTGTTTGTTTTTAAAGAGGAAATATTTTCACAGTGATTCTGAAAATACTTGGGAAAAAAAATTCTTAGCTGTGACTTGTGCTAATAGAGCCATCTAGGAAAAAAAAGGAAATTATTTTTTAAATTAGGGCTCTAGCTCGGTTTTTTCATATAGTAATAAATATTGTTGAATAGGTATAAAGCTCTACAGTGTATTCAGGGATGATAATTAAACTATTTATCAACCAGAAAGGCAAGAGCACTGCCCAGTCGAATGGGCAGTGGCAGTCGGTCAGGAGCAGGGTCCTGAGGCCTCCTGGTATAGGTGGTAAACCATTAGGTGCGGGGCTATGAATCAGGCAGGGTGCTAATGTGGGGCCACAGCTGCAGGGGCGCCCTAGAAGACTTAGGACAGCTGGCATATAAGCCATATATCAGTAGTTTAATACTGTAACAGCCAGTACTGCCGGATGAAGACATCCTGGCGTATCAGCCCCGTGTGTATCAAAGATTATATGTTACATTTTTATTGGAGAGCTGGTGGAAATGGAGACCTCAGTGGTGTAAAATCACATCTGGTTCTTCCAAGCTGTTGCTCTGTCAGCCTTCTTGGTGTTTGATAGAGGTGGCGGGGGAGACTCAGAGTGGTGTCCCTACAGTTGGTGGGTCTTGTCCTTTAGACAGAAGGTGGCATGAAATGCATGGGGTCATCCACATGGTTAAGAACCAGGTCTTTGTCATACCCACTGTTGTACCACAAGCACTTAGACTTCCTTGATGCTTAGCAATGAATGAATGAACGATTAGAGGTGAATTCAGGTTTCAAGGTGTAGGTTTTAGTTTTATTCGGGTATGGTAAGACCGACAGATTAGGAGATGATTGCCATTGAAAAGAGAGTTTATTAGTGACAGTTCTGAAGAGGAGAGGGCACATCACCCCATGGAGGGGCCACACAGGGTCAGTCAGGTTGGAGTGAGGGGAAAACATGGGCAAGAGCCTTTATTTTGGTTCCTGTGGGAAAGAACAACGAAGCCTGGTAAACAGCCTGAGGACTGGTGACTTTGAATAACTTTAGTGGGCTCTGGGGTGTAGTGGCTGTTTCTAGTTGTCTGGTACCTGGCACTGGAGTGATTTGGGCAGGTGGATAGTGGTCCTGAGTGTGTGACGCAGTAGAGGAGACGATGGTTGTGTGGACTTTGGACTGGGTCCGTAGCATACTACAGGCACACTCACAGGCTAGTCATTTACTGTCTCTAAAAATTGGCGAGCACTGGGAGGGGCAGTCTCTCAAAGATCACCAGGGCCTTTGATGTCAAAGCATCAGAAATACTGAAAATGAAAAGGCATGATTAATACACTGGCTGCCCTTGAGGAATGGTACAACTATCCCCTTTATTCTTAAAGGTCTGATGGAGGCAAGCAGAGATGTTTTCTTTCTCTTTGCTTCCACATTTCTTTTTTTACACCAGTGGGTACTTGTAACATAGCATTTATTGGTAATAATTATAGCTACGATTTATTAAACCCTCCCTATGTGTTTAGCACTATCCTAAGACTTTACATGTATCAACCCAATGAGTGTCCAATCTCCCATACAGTATATATAGTTTTTATTCTCCTACATGAGGAAATAGTGGCCTTGAGGAATCATATAACTTAATCAAGGTCACACCGAGTTGCAATGCGATGCTCTTATTTATTCTCTGGAATGTACTCCGTCTCCTATTTATTGTATTCCAGTTTCTTGCTTGTGAATCTGTTGATGCAGCTGGTTTCGGCAGCTCAAAACATTGGACAATTCTTCTCACCTGTGTCTGTGCAATCTCCCACAGAGAGCAGGCACCATGTGAACCTCTGTGGAATCAATAAATAAAGCTTCCATCACCTTTCTCTTTAATTTGAGCAGGCTGATAAGCAGCCCGTTATCTAGTGATGGTAGAGGAGCTGTCCTAGGGGAAGAAGACCTGTTTTATGCCTGCCTTTATTTGACATTCTCTGAAAATGAGAACTTGGGAAGAAAGTCATTTGCATGACTCTGTAAATGGCTATTTCTGTTTTGTGGCATTTATGCCTTACTTAGTCTGGGCTCCACAGATGCTTGCTTTGCAGGACATGGCCTTTAGAAAGACACATGTGACACGTGTCCTTGGGAAAATGAAGTGAATGTGCGGACTGTGTTCCAATCCAGGAATGTTAACGGGAGAGACAGCTACGGCACTTGTCATATGGTGGCTTTCCTGATTGTGTCCTCTGCTTTTTCCTTCTCCCAGCTTGCCACCAATCCTGTGTCAGGTGTGCAGGGAAGAGCTCTCATAATTGCACAGCCTGCCGGCTTTCCCAGGTGCTGTTGGATGGGCAGTGCCTCCCTCAGTGCCCAGATGGACACTTTAACCAGGAAGGCAGTTGTACGGGTGAGTATGTAACATGCTGGAACATATTCCCTATGCCCATGTTTTGTCTTCATAGTGCCGCCAGACACTGTAATTAGAAACCTTGTCATACCAGGGGACTAGGGCTGGGCTGTAAATCCTTGTCTTGAACTTGTAGGAGGAAGGAGAACAAGAGAAATTCTATTCTTCTAATAAGGAAGCATGGAAGAAGTGAAAAATGAGAATCAGCTTTACCCTATGCATACAACGAGGGATGGATTTGATGGTAGTCACCATGGAGTCAAAGTACTATAGGTTCTGATGCATTTGTGTAGGGTCAGTCAGCGTATGGCGTGGCTTCTGCAGTTCTCAGCCCCACGTTCCCTGGCTGCAGCCTAATAAAGAAAAGGGGAGAGAGGTATTTATTTATTTTTTGACAGGTCAGTCCAATATGTTTTTAAGAGCACTTTTATATGTTACAGCGACTGAGGTCCTATAAATTACTGGTTGAGATTAGTGCAGGGTTTCATGGGAATCGACAAAATACTAAAATTTAAGCACCTTATTGTAGCACTGGGTAGTCTTGTATCTAAAGGAAAAAAAAAAGACAAAACACATTCTATCATAATTACTATTTTATTTCTAAAAATAGACTGTTGAGGCCAGCTTAGAATAAAAAGCCCAATCTTGTAAAATTGTATTACACGTATTCCTAGGGTCAGAAAACATGTAGTAAATTTGTAAAATATTTTAAAAATAAATTTATGCTTGTTAGATTCATCTAGCCTCAAACTACAAAGCGGAAATTGAATGTGAACACAGGTTTAGACAATTGAAGATCAATATGATATTTCTTCTGGAATTTTCTTTTTCCACATAAGTTTTTAATCTCTCTAGGCCCCTGCGGGGTTGCTTTTCTTTAAACACTCTATCGAGCTCAGAGGGAAATTTTCCTGGTTTCTTTGTCATTGGAGTTAAAACAGTTGTCTGTCCTTATGCACTTTCAGCCTAGCCCAGTTGGTTTGTGTGTGTGTGTGTGTGTGTGTGTGTGTGTGTGTGTGTGTGTGTGTGTGTGTGTGTGTGTAATTGTTTGAGGGAGTAAAGTCTAAGTAGCACCAACTCTCCTCTGTCTATGCCTCTGCCTGCTTGAAGCCAGAAAATGGATGGTACCACGAATGGCAGGGCAACCAGGTCACTGGAAATATTCTGGCAGGGAGGAAATGCAGAGGTGAAAGTCATCCTGAGAATGCTATAATAGTATCTTTTGGATGGATGTTTGCAAAGTGGAGAGCCTCAGGAATGTAGAAAAAGTGATCGTTAATGCTAGCCTTCTAATCAGTAGTTCATTTTCTTGCTTGCCTTTTTTTTTTCTTTTTTCTTTCTTTCTTTTTTTTTTTTTTTTGTATAACTTCTTATCTTCTTTTGGCCTCTTGCCAGAAGAAGCGAGAAGCAGTTGACTTTACTCGAAATCTGTGTCTTTGCTTTCCTCCAGCTCTGTGCCAGAAGGGAATTCTTTGTCATCGGTTCCAGCAAGTTCGACCCAGCTCCTGCCCTTCATCGCCCCTCCTCTTGGAATCAGACATGCTTAGACCGCCTCGTCCTTGGCAGGGACAGCCTTCCATCTCCTTCCATCCGCTTGCTCCCGCTGCCTTCTCTGGCAGTACAAATGCAGCCGCAGCTGCAGCCCGCTCTCATTCCTTGCCATCCTTGTCTTTATTGCCCTCACCTACTGTGACTCACTTGTAATTTTGTGATTTTTCTAATGGAGTGCCTCTTGTTCATTTGGTGGTGTTTCTGGGGGAAACACAGCATTGTCATACTTTTGTCTGAAGAATTGAACTTCAAATACAGCTCATGATAACCCCCAGAAAGAGGACCTTTTCTGTTCTTGGTATATTAGTTAAGTCTTGCTACTAAAACAGGAATCTGCACTGCGGCATTTGACTCTAGTGGGAAGGTTTAGTATCCCTGGCTGTGTATCGTCCCTCACTTTGCCTGCTAGGAATTTCTGAGAAGCAAAATGTCTCTCTCTCTCTTTTTCCTGCCTTGCTCTCCTTAAATCATGGTATTTTAGGGAGGGGGAGTGTTACCACTCCACTTAACTGCTTTGTCACTTTGATCTGAGCAGTCTGATTTACATGGATGGGGATGGTCATGCTGGCCCCCCCTGGAATGTGCAATCCCTCTTAATTTTTATGGTTCTAGATTCCATATTCTGTTCACAGTTCGCATTTTCACTGACACCCCAAAATGCATTCTCTCGGTTAGGCCTAAGTGTGTACCAAGCTTATTCAGGAATCTTCGAAAGACGGGTAGGGTTTGAGTTCTACTCTTCATGCAGTCTGTGGAGTGCGTTGCATAGTTGATGTACTTACATGCTGAGCTGCTAATCCCAATCCTTGCCCTTGTTTTCTCCCTAGAATGCCACCCCACTTGCAGGCAGTGCCATGGCCCATCGGAATATGACTGCACCTCCTGTCACCCTCATGTCACTCTTACTGGTGGGAACTGCAGGACCAGCTGTAAAGAAGAGCAGTTCCTCAACCTCGTGGGATACTGTGCTGGTGAGTGAGACTTCCTTCCTAGTCACAGAACCACGGGCCAAAGGCTAGGGTTCTTCATACCAGGCCTAAGAAGGCCCTTGTACTTGTCCTTTGTCAGCAAATCAAGAGCTCTTTTTTTGGGAGACATTTGTTTCATGCCCGGGAACTCACTCCACTGTCTCCTATGAGACATTTTGTAAATATTTATGGATTTAAATGGAATCTTCTAATAACACTTTTTTAATTTCTGAAAAAAAACGTAGAACTTCCTATTAATGAAGATTGGAGTCCTGTTAATAGTACCTCCTATGCATGGGGCACACTTCAGCTTAAGATAAAAGAATGTATTTTCTAAATTTCTCCCTATTGTCTACATTATCTCCTGCCTTTTGCTCCAAAGAACCTTGGCTATCAGCTCCATCCACAAAAATTTAGGGAGATTAACCCAAAAGTAAATCAGTTTCCCCAGGAGTTGGGATTTTTCCTCCTCATTTTAGAACTCAAATATCAAAAAGAAATAAATTTGGAAAGCAGCACGGAATTTGGATAATGATGAAAGAGCCATACTGTGTTTGTGGTCATCCAACCATTCATACAGCAGATATCTTTGGGCTTCTACTAATGTTCAGATGTTCAGAAGACACACACACACACACACACACACACACACACACACACACAGCTGAATAAGACAAACACTGTCCTCAAAGGGCTTATTATCTAGAGAGAAGAATTTACAGGCTAGTGAGTTATTATACATTTCTTGACCCACTTTTCCCAATTTAGAAGAACCATGAAGGGATTTCCTTGTAGCAGTTATAATCCCAGCTCTGAAGGGCTTGCCTGGAGGGCATTCTGGGATGCTACTAGATGAGTGGGAAGGTGAGAAAGCTAGGATCTGGTTGGATGCATGCTGGAGGGGTTGGCCTCTGTATGGCTTGTCCCTGCACAGGGAGGAGGTGTGGCCAAGTGTTTGGATCATAGTATGAGTAGGCACATTCAGTCTGGGACAGCATTGATGTTTCAGTTGTCAAGTTTGGTGGGTAGGGACTCAGCAAATCAATGTCAGTGCTCCAAATATAGCTGGTAGTGCCATGGTCTTGGGCAATCCCTTCTGTTTTGCACATGACCTTAGCTAAAGGCTAGACACTAAGGTCCAAAACCTATACCCTAGGAAGACTAAACTGTCAAGAGCAGGGCTACAGCCAAAAAATGCTGGAATTTAGTGCAAAAACCAGTTGTAGAGATTGCATACATTTTAGGGGCAATGAAAAGTGGGAGCTCAGAAAGCCTAGGCTTGACACTAATGAGATACCCCACCAACTATAGGGTGTGAGCCTATTGCCAGTGATACCAGTTGTAGTCACAACTGACTTGGGAAGTAGGCAAATGGTAAGTCAAGTGCCCACCCTTGAAGAGAAATCTGGAGATGGCAGAGGCTGACTGTTTCAATCGTTTGTAAACTTGAGTTCAGCTACTGATTTTTACTTTAGGATATGGAGAAAGAGCTACCATGAGGACTAAGAGGCCCTGACATGATGAAAGCACATTGGTGGCTATTTACTCAGCATTCACTGAGCACAAAGCCCTGAGTTGCTGTTTGAGGGGACACAGGGACTACCTAAGGAGATGAACCAGACACAGTGCAATTAACAAATAGTACAAAGCAATTTATGGATGATAACACCAAATGGCAGTAAGTGTTGTAGGAGTTCAGAGGAGGGGTGAGTAAAAGAAATGGAAGGCGTTGTGGAGGAGGTAGAGTTTCAAGATCTTCCTGAAGAATAGCTAGGATTAGGTTAGACAGAGGTAGGTCAGGTGGGCTTTCTGAGTGTGGTTCTCCCAGGAGACAGACCCAGAGGACAGAGCATGCAGGCTGGACCATTCATGGCCAGTGAGCAGTCCATTCTGGCTGAAGAACATAGCTTATATTAAAGCACAGTAAACAAAGCAGTTGGAAAATTTAAATTGCAACCAGGGTATAGAAAACCCAAAGTCTCAGGCCAAAATGTTTGGATGGAATTTTGTGGGCAGTATAGCAATGAGAGTTTTGGAGAGGACTATGACTTGACTAAGGATGTGGTCTGGGCAGGAAATGAGCAAACTGGGTGGGAGATGGACTGGAACAAGGAGACATGATAGAGAGAGGAGTTAGAAGGTAGGACCTTCTAATGGCTTTTCTATTTCCAACCTATTCTGCATCAAAATTTTTATGCTGGGGGAAATTTTTAAAATAAATGTTTATATAAGGAGATGGGAAATTTTAATTTTTAATGTGCTCTGTTCTCGCCAATGTCCAGAGTCCTCTTTGAAAGTAAATTAGGTGATTAGGAGATGTATTAATTTTTTAAGACTAATAGGGAACCATTAGAATAAAGAATCATGGGACTACACTAAATGACTTTGGAAGTCCCTAGTCCTAGAAGAGCAGGTCCCACTAAAATGAGCTGGAAGGGACAAACCTTAGCTGTCCTGGGAATTAGGAATGTTAAATAAAAGTTTTAAATAAGGTAACCATTGTCAGGTGTATGGAAACCCTTTGTCAACTAGAGACTGGTGTATGAGTATTTGGTATAGGAAAACTGAACAGTAAGTTCAATTGTTGATCTTTCAGAGAACTGTATGGATCCTGAAGTTACTTTTTTAATAAATATGTGCCCTTTCTGAACACCTCCCTTTTCACTCTGTAGAATTGTAAACCATTCATTCATTTATTGCTTCATCAAACGTTTATTAAGCACACTCTCTGTGCTAGGCACTGTACTGGGCTCTAGGGATGCAAAGATGAATAAGATGTGGTGCTTGCATTCAAAAAGCATACAGTGTAGGAAGGAAGGGGATATGTGTTGCAAATGATATTGCTGTGGACATAAGCTGGGCCTGTGGGACAGGACCCTAACCTAGACTAGAGGGTGTGTGTGTATGTTGTGTGTGTGGGAGGGCTGGGTAGTGAAGGATTTCTGGGGCGTTTCATAACTGAGATGATTTTGAAAGATGTGTAAGAATTAGAGGGCTTTAGAGATTTGGAGGAGAGAACATTCCAGGAAGTGGGCCAAAAAATATTGTCTATTGAGGCATTAACAAAGAGTTAAATAGAATGCCAGCCCTTAATGTGGAAGTGGTGGGACTGAAACACAAGGAAGTAGGCCCAGTCATGAAAGCCTTTGGATGTTCTGTTTAAGGAGAGCACACTTTGTTATCAAGGCTGCGGGGATCTCTTGAAGGTGTTTAAGGAGGGGGGCTGTTGTGGTCATTCCTCTGTCAAGAGAAAGATCTATGGAAGATTGTTTTCAGAAATACAAAACTGGGGGCAGAAGAGCCTTTGGGAGGTAGTTACAGAAATCCTGATGGGAGACGAAGGTCTTTAATGAGAAAATTGCTGAGGGAATGAAGAGAAGGGGGCACGGATTCACTAAGTATTAATTATACATTAGGTTAGCCCATGTGAGATTGCTATTTTGTGGGCATAAATGGTCAAGTAGTGGAAATTTCATAAGGTTCAATCTTATACAGTAATCCCCTCTTATCTGTGGTGGATACGTTCCAAGATCCCTGGTAGATGCCTGAGGGGGATCTTGGAAAGTATAGTACTGAACCCTATGTATACTATATTTTTTTCCCATACACACATACCTTTTCACTTACAGGAAGCACTTTATGGCTTCTATTTGGCATATCTGGATTGCCAGCATCACTATCCGTGTGCTTTGGGGCCATTGCTAAGTAAAATAGGGTGACTTGGACACAAGCACTGTGATACTATGACAGTCAGTCTGCTAACCAAGACAACCACTAAGTATTAATAACTAATGGCCAGGTGGCCAGGTAGTTTATCCAGTGTGGATACGCTGGACAAAGGGATGCTTCACATTCCCAGCGGGACAATGCAGAATGGTAGGAGATTCCATCATGCTACTCAGAATGGCATGCAATTTAAAACATATAAATTGTTTATTTTGGAATTTTCCATTTAATATTTTTGAACAGCAGTTGACTGAGGGTAACCAAAACCATGAAAGGCAAAATCACAGATCAGGGGAACTACTGTAGAAGCAACAGAAGTTGGCTATCTCCTAGCCCTGGGGGCTAAGGGAGAGGGAGTTTGGGGCATGATTTCCAGATTTCTAGCCAAATAAATTTGAGGACTTAAGGTCCAGAAGAAAAAGATAATGTGTTTGAATTTGGACAAGTTCAACATGGGGTGACCACTGGACATCCAGGGGTAGCTGTCCAGAGGAGGCTGAAGTTCTAAGTGAACACAGCTTTCTTACTGTAGCTCATCTGCTATCTTCGTTTTACCCTGAACCTACAGTCCTGGAATGTTTTTAACTGAAGTGTTGCTTTAGTCAGTTCATAGTTAACTTCATGGAACATTTCAATGACTTTCATCTAAGGAGGGTGTTAGGAGGAGTCCTGTGATGGTAGACAAACCACAAGATAACCCACTCCAGGCAGTGCCATCAGTGGAATGGACTTTCTTCGTTCTTCAGAAGTTTTGGCACAGTGGAAGCCCTGGGGAAGGACCCCCTCTGCTTCCTCTATCATGTGTGAGCTGTGCAGGGTGGTTGGATTTACTCACGGGATTTATTCTCTGTCTGAGCTGTACCTAAGATCATCATCGGAGACCTTTTAATTGCACTTGGCTGTTTAAGAAAGAAAATTACATCTCATCTATCATGCAGACAAGAATAAACACATCCCGGGAACAGGTCCAATAACCTCAATGTGTTATCACATATGGAGATGTCATATGTGTGGGGTTTTTCCCTTCAAGTCTCTCAAAGCATATATACAGTTTGTGAGCTTTAGGCCAGGGCTGAAAGTTTTCAACAGAGATAAATGAACTGGGGTTAGAGGCAGGAGTGGATAAGATTGCAGCAGACATGGTTAAGTGTTATGGAAAGCCAGGTTTTTTTCTTCATAGATTTTTTTTTCTTAATATTATGCCCATATCTTAACATTATCCAAAAATTTCAAAGCCTGAGGTGCTTTCTTCATTTGTTTTTCTCAGCTAAAACCTT